TTGCCGGAGAGGCAGGGGACGTTGTTTCCCGCTTGGGGTGGGGGGGGGAACAGAAAGTGGGTTTTTTTGGGGGGGGGGGGTGTTGGGGCTCCTTAGCATCCAAAGCCTCCCAGCAGCTGGCACCGACGGTCGCTCTACATCATCTAACTATGAACAGTAAGGTAGGCACAGACCAAGCAGTTGGTAATACAGCTTGGCACGCAGACACCGGACGAGAGAGACTGCAGCAAGGGTTTCACGTGATCGTGTGTAATGTTCGTCCACACCTTAGCCTTCGACTTGGGGCTGCCGCCGCCGCCACTGCCGCCGCCGCCATCCTGCCCTTCTTCAGCTGGGTCATCCCCTCGGCTGGCATTTAGCCACCTTGCCTTCTCCCGCTGCTGCCTCTGAAAGCTATGCCTCAGCGGAGAGCAAGTGCCCGAGTCCCCATCACTAGCAAGAGAGTAGCCGGTGACGGCAGCGGGAACCTCCGCCTCACTGAACTTTTTAGTCTTCTCCCTCAGAGCAGGGCATCGGTACGGGTAGCCAGTCCGGTAGCCCTGAGGAAAGACCACAGGAGAAGAGTCAGTCCAGGACAAGGCCCGGCATTCGTCCGGAACAGCCACAGCACTGAAGACTTATACAGCACTTCATGGTGCTTTACAGCCCTCTCCAAGTGGTTTACAGTGTTGTGATGTGGGCAATCTGGGCTCTCCATTTACCCACCTTGGAAGGATCGAACTCCTGGTTGTGGGCAGAGTTAGCCTGAAATGCCGCATTCTAACCATTCTATCTTTATGTTTAAAAACAAATACTAAAGGATTATTTTTGAAATAATTGAAATGAAACAAAATTGACTGAGATTAATGAAAGAGGCTAGAATTAATGTGTTTGTTTCTCTCCTTACTGAAAATCTGGAATGGAAAAGGTAATAATAGAATTAAGTATGCATATATTAATGTATAATTTCTGTCATATTTGTATGTAAAGATGATGACCTGGAAATATGTTGTCCACTAAAGAGAGATTTTTGTTTTTAATGTGAAAAACTGAATAAAGTCTGTTTAAAAAAAAAAAAAGAAGGGAGGAGGGAGGGAGGGAGGAAGGGAAGGAAGGACTAGCAGTAGCACTTAAGCTTATATACTGCTTCACAGCGCTTTACAGCCCTCTCTAAGCGGTTTATGGAGTCAGCCTCTTGCCCCCAACAATCTGGGTCCTCATTTTACCCACCTCTGAAGGACGGAAGGCTGAGTCAACCTTGAGCAGGTTAGGATCAAACTGCTGGCAGTGGGCAGAGTTAGCCTGAAATACTGCATTCTAACCACTGGGAGGGAGGGGGGGGGGGGGGGGGGGGGAGGAAGGAAAGGACGGACGGACTAGCAGTAGCATTTAGACTTATTTACTGCTTCACAGTGCTTTACGGCCCTCTCTAAATGGTTTACAGAGTGTGTGCCCCCGAGATGTGGGCAATCTGGGTCCTCATTTTACCCACCTCAGAAGGATAGACGTCTCCAGTCAGGATCGAACTCCTGGTTGTGGACAGAGTTAGCCTGAAATACTGCATTCTAACCACGGTGGGTGGGTGGGTGGAAGAAAGGAAGGAAGGAAGGAATACACTAGCAATAGCACTTGAGATGTATTCACAGTGGTTTTACAGCCCTCTCTAAGCAGTTTTACAGAGTCAGCCTCTTGCCCCCAACATTCATTTGACCCACCTCGGAAGGATAGAAAGCTGAGTCAACCTTGAGCTGGTCAGGATCGAACTGCCAGCAGCCAGCAGAGTAAGCCTGCAATACCGCATTCTAACCACTGCGCTCGTAAACAGAGCCATTTGGCCCACCTGCATACTCATCTTATCCTAAAAAGGGTTAAGTTTGGAATTGGTCATTTCAATAAGTGGCAGCCAAGGCCATCACAGATAGCTATCTCAGCCTTCCCTTGCGGTCCTACTTTCCTGTGAACAAACTGTGTAAACCAGGAGTGAAGGACGCTGCCCTGAAGGTGGAAGTAAACTCTCCGAATATTATTATAAAGAAAATGAATTGTGAGTTCCTGGGCGCTCTTTGGGCTTGGCTATTTGTTTGCTGCCCTTTCATTACCCAACTCGCTGGATAATGAAACGTTCAACCCTGAGCCACAAATTCAACCCTGAGGCTACAGATAATGATCTTCTCTTGCGAGAAAATGAACATTAAGTGTTGCTGAAAGATTCCTCTGGCGCTGCGATGATTGACCAAGCTTTGAATGCTGTGTTTCACTCTCCACTGCATTTTCCTTTGGGAAGGGAATAGCTCTCCATGATCTCATGCTGGCCACATGACCACGGAAACATCTTTGGACCGTGCTGGCTCAATGGCCTTGAAACAGAGATGAGCGGCGCCCCCTGCAGTTAGCAATGAGTAGCAGAATCAAATCCACGGGGGGAGTGGGGACGGGACACGGGGAGGACGGACTTCTCCTTAAGGAAGAAGAAAACTTTGAGGGCGTCAGCCACAAGAGCTTCGTGATATTGAGACGTCCGTCTGTCCATCCTCTGTCATATTTGTACAGCTACCCATCTCACCTAAAACGGACTCTATAGGTCGCAGCAGGACGTCTGGCTTACCAAATTGTCAAGCATTCGCATGAGGGCTTCAAATTCTTGTTCTCCAGTCTGCCATTTGGGGTGAGGCACTGCCCCTTCCCCCGCGGCAGACTCGTGGCAGTGAGGCCTGGATTTGTATTTGCTGGGATCCAGCAGGACCAAATTGTCTGCCCCACCTGCACTGGCCAGGGTTCGTACCTGCAAAAAGTGAGCAGCAAATAGTAATGAGGAGACATAAATCAAAGCGCCAGCCGTAGAGTCTAATCTTGGGTTACATGCCACGTTACAACCCACTCTAGTAGGATTTATCTCTTTAATTAAACCAACGCGCCCCCCCCCCCCCCCCCCCCAAAAAAAAAATACAGAAGTCTTTCTGCTAAGCTTCAAAAGCTGCTTTTGGCTGTTGCAACTTTTATTGCTTCTCAGATTACCAGCAAACTATTGAGGGGGAGGAAAAGGGGGAGATAGAATGTAGGTTCCAGACTTTGAGATGCCAGGAATGAGAACCAAGGACGTTTGGGCAGGTGGTTTTATCAAGAGCCAACAGACTTTCTCACAACACCACCAGGAGACTCCATTGGACAATGTGACCTGATCAAATTGGAGGGAGGGAGAACCTGAACTTTGACTTTGTGGGTTTGCACAAGGAACAGTCAGATCCGCTTTTGCCATCATAGGTGCCGAAATGATGTACTCAATAAAGTTCTGCATTCCGAGATCGGATCATCTCAGCCGTGCTTACTTTGGTTGGGCTCGTCGGTCGGGATTTTGACGCTTTCATCCCGCTATGCCTTTTCCATAGGCATGCTTTTAATTCAGCTGCTTTGGGTTACGCAGTATCCCCAAAACCAACTTGAAGTAGATAAATCCAGAAAGTAACATTGCTTACTTGGATCTCACATGCAACAACCAAATTGTGAATATAATAGAAAGCCTCCTCCACGCTTTCGCCAACGGATACCAAGCCGTGATTTCGGAGGATGAGGACCTGGAGCAGCCAAGGAGAGAAATAAAGATGCTCTGAGTCAGACAAAGTCGACCTTTTCTGCCAGCTCTTTGTAAATGGGATGGTCTAGATACTCACTTTACTTTTGGGGCCCAGATTCTTTTGAATCAGGGCCTTTTCCTCCTCGTTCACAAGAATGCCGTGGTAATCGTGGTAGGCCACTTCCCCGAGAGACAGTGCCTCTGGTGAGATGGGCAAGAGGCCACGTTTCATCGCAGATACCTGAGAATGTTATTGTGGATTTTACTGACAGCAGTATATGAATTGGTTGTCCTCTTACCTATAAATGTCTCTTCTCAAAGGAAAGACAACTTTGGATGGGGGGAGGGGGGGAAACGACACAATTCCCTCATCTGGAAAAGGCATCTCTAAAAGTCATTTCTGAGAACAAAGCAAGTCCTCAAAAACTAACAGGAAAGTAAAACCAAGGGACGCAACTGAGAGCAGCCATTTTGAAAAATACTGATAGACAAGATAGGGATAAGGATGGAATAGAGTGGAACAGAACAGAACAGAATGAAGAATTAGGTTAGAATATAGAGGAGAGGAATGAAGAAGGGGAGGGGAGAGGAATGTGGAAGGGGAGAGAAGAATGAAGGGAAGTGGAGAGGAGGGGAGAGGAGAAGAATGAAGAAGGGAAGTGGAAAGGAGGGGAGAGGAAAGGAGAGGAAAATAATGGAATGAAGGATTAGAATAGAATAATGAAGAATGGAATAGAATTCTTTATTGGCCAAGTGTGATTGGACACACAAGGAATTTAGAATTTGTCTCTACTGCGTAAGCTCTCAGTGTACATTCAAGCAACAAGTGATAATTCACAATCATAATCATAAAATACAATAATAAATCATAAGATACATTAAATGATAGTTATATTAAATAAAGCAATCAACATAAAACATAAGATAAAAGCAACAAAGTGATAGTCATAACATGCTATAGGAAATAGGAAAAGGATAATGCTAATACAGACCTACTTATTATTCCATGATTTCAAGACAGCATTAATTCAACAAGTGTCTGTTTTATTGGACACGCTAGACGCTGTGTAGCAAAAAAAACCCTTTCAACCTGTCTATGTTGGAAATGTTTATTTCAGAGGAACAAGCTTATATGTTTTCGGCTTCCTTAATATTGGACCCACTTAATATTTACCAAAGCGTTAAAAAGACGATTGGAAAAAAAGTAAAGTTGGGAATGCGGTATTGAAGTATATTATGGAAATCTGTAATCTACTGAAGTATGCAAAACTTGTGGCTTGTGGGCTCAGCCCAGAAAATTGCTTCACTCTGCTGGGAGCATCCAACTTCAAACCGTAGATGAATGGAAGACATGGTTCTTTTTCGTGCAGCAGATCTGGATTTTTAGCAACTCCTAAACCAGGGGTGGAGAACTTTGACAACCTGTGGACGTCAATTCCCAGAATCCCCGAGGCATTCTGGGATTTAAAGTCCACAGGTCATAGAATTGTCATAGCTGTCCACCCCTATCCTATGAAGGCAGCCTGTATCCTTCGTTACTACTGGTAGTCCTCAGCTTACGAACACAACTGAGCCCCAAAAGGAGACATTCGTTAAGTGAGCTTTGCCCCTTCCTACGAGTTTTGCTGCATCTGTTAAATGAATCACTGCGCTTGTTAAATTAACAGGGTTGTTGAAAGAAACTGGTTTCCCCATTGACTTTGCTTGTGAGGAGGTGGCAAAAAAGGGTAATCGGGACACTGCAACGGACACAAATGTGAGTCAGCTGTCAAGTGCCCAAATGCAAACCAGGTGAGCATGGGGCTGTCGCCAGGGTCATAAAAGTGTGAAAAATGGTCGTCTTTTTTTTCTCAAATGGCCACCAAATGAACGGCTATTCAGATGAGGAAGACCTGCACTACGTGGCTTGTCATGAAGGCGCTCTGCTATTTCCGAGCTGTGCAGGGGAGGCGGAGAACTCTCTTACCGCTGCTCCTGCAGGAGTGTGGATGTGAACAATGCACTTGACATCCGGGCGGGCGGCGTAGATGGCTGAGTGCAAGGTGAAGCCGGCCGGGTTGATCCCCAAGTTAGTGCTCCCGCGATCAATGACGTCCCCTTGGAAGTTCACTTTCACCTGGTAACAGAAGATGGGGGGTTATTGGCCGAATAATTATTCTAACTCTCTTCCCGCAGGAGGGAAAGAAGACAATAGAGAATGGAGTAACAAATAGAAGGGTGAATAGAGCAGAAGTAGAGCAGAGTGGAATGGAATGGAATAATAACGGAAGAGAAGAGAAGAGAGAAGAGAGAAGAGAGAAGAGAGAAGAGAAGAGAAGAGAAGAGAAGAGAAGAGAAGAGAAGAGAAG